CCAGCTGTGCCCCCCCCGAGCCCGGCCCGGCCCAGCTGTGCCCCCCCCGAGCCCCGGCCCGGCCCAGCTGTGGCCCCGCAGCCGCCGGTCACCAGCCTGTCGTCTCCTCTGCCAGAAGGTGTTGGACGAGTGCCAGGACCAGCGCGCCTGCCGCCTCCTGGTCAACAGCCGGGTGTTCGGGCCGGACCTCTGTCCAGGGAGCAGCAAATTCCTCCTGGTGTCCTTCAAGTGCCAGCCGAGTAAGTGCCCGCGGGACCGCCGGCTCCGGGGCCTCCACCCACGTGCCGTGGGCCTCAGCTCACGTGGAAACACGCCTGGGTGGGATGTGGGCCCTCCTTCCGGCTTTTCCTTGGGTGTGGGCTTGTGTGGGTGCGAGTGTGAGTTCACAGCCAGGTGCGTCCCTGTGCGTGCTGACCCATGCCAGTGCCCGTGCCCATGTGCGTGCTGACTGTGCCCGCGTCCACATGCGTGCTGACCGTGCCCGTGTCCCTGTGCGTGCTGACCCATGCCAGTGCCCGTGCCCATGTGCGTGCTGACTGTGCCCGCGTCCACATGCGTGCTGACCGTGCCCGTGTCCCTGTGCGTGCTGACCCATGCCAGTGCCCGTGCCCATGTGCGTGCTGACTGTGCCCGCGTCCACATGCGTGCTGACCGTGCCCGTGTCCCTGTGCGTGCTGACCCATGCCTGTGCCCACGTGCATGCTGACCGTGCCCACATCCACATGTGTGCTGACTGCCTGCGTTTGGAAAGCCTGCCCACTCTGCACCCAGCTGCCCTGATGCTGTGGGTCTCGGGCAGATGCGGGACCAGCGCTCCTGTCGGGGAGTCCTGCCCGAACGAGAAGGCGGCCTGTGCTTCCGGGCCCAGGGGCGTGGCTGCAGCCTGGGCAGGCGGTTTTTTTTTCTGCTCCCGCCCCCCCGTGTGGCAGGTGCTCCTGACTCAGGGCCTGTTCCCAGGGCCCGGCTGCTGTGTAGCTGCCGTGTGGGCTCCGGCAGTGATGGGAACCGCCCTCAGGCCCCAGGACTCGGTGTGAATGGCTGAAAGGCAGGGACATGCGCGTGGCTGGGAGGGTGGGGTACGGTCTGGCCTGGGCGCAGGCAGCAGCGGGGTGCGCTGCCTGTAAGAATTTAAAACTCTAGAAGCGACTGAAACACGGGCTGCGCGGTCCTCTCGCCCGCACTGGGGCGTGAACGGCGGCGGTGACGACACATCCGCACCCGGCAGGTCCCGAGGCCGGGCCGCGTCGCACGCACTGGCCTCTCACCGGTAGCTCCGTGCGGAGCATTTGTGCTGTTTTCCTTTAAAAAATATATGTTTTCATTGATTTTTAGAGAGAGAGGAAGGGAGAGGGATAGAGATAAACATTGAGGAGAGAACATCATGGATCGGCTGCCTCCTGCCCGCCTCCCCCCCTGGGGATCGAGCCCACAACCAGCCTGTGCCCTGACGTGAATCGGACCGTGACCTCCTGGTTCCTGGGTTGATGTCCAACCACTGAGCCGCACTGGCCGGCCGGGTTGCTGTTGTCCTTCGAGTCAGAGTCTTGGCTCCGCCTCCTCCCGGGCCCGTGGGGGCCGGTGCCGCCAGCGCCTGTCCAACCCGCGGCCGGTGAGCGCTCCCCTCCTGTGAGACGAGCGCTCGCTCTCCTAGAAAAGGAGCCGTTATGTCCGTGGCCCCACGGTCCTGAGAACCAGAAATGTCACTCTCGGGCGACGGTGACAGCACCTTCCCGAGGAACAGGGTGAGTCAGCGTGACACACCGTCACCCCGCCAGTCGGACACCCCGGCCCCCAGTCTAGGAGGCGATGTGCCCGTAATCGGGGTGATCGCTGGAGGCCCCCCGCGGGTGTAGCGTTACCTGGGAGAGCCTGGCTGGCCGGGCTGCCGCTCGTGAACGGCCTTGAACTTCGGGGAGGTGGTGCCTTCAGAACAGAACTTCTCACTTAGAACATTCTGGAGGAGGCCGGGAGGAGGTGCGGGAAGGGGCCCATCCTGGAAGCAGCTCCAGGTTCTGAGATCGGCCGGGTTGGCATCCTGCCCTCTCCTGCCCTCCCTCCCGCCCGCTCTGCCCCGGGAAGCATTCTTCACATTTTTGGGTGTTTTCCGGGCTGGGAGGGCGCCCGCCTCGAAGCCGGTGTTCAGCCCTTTGTGGTGTGGCTCAGTGGGTGAGCGTCGGCCTGTGGACTGACGGGTCCCAGGTTCGATTCCCGGTCAGGGCACCTGCCCGAGTTGCAGGCTCGATCCCCAGTGGGGGACGTGCAGGAGGCAGCTGATCAGTGATTCTCTCTCATCATTGATGTCTCTCTCTCCCTCTCTCTCTCCCTCTCCCTTTCCCTTTTTGAAATCAATAAAAACACACTGTCTGTATAAAAAAGAAAGTGGGGTTTATGTTCGGAATCACGTTCTTTCGTGCTCCTGTGGGGCCTTAAGCTTCATCCGCTTCAGGTCTCGGAGGTCCCGCGGCCCAGGGCCCGGTGTTTGCCGCTCAGGCCTCCGTGAGGCCTCCTCGGCCGGGAGCCTCCCAGTAGCTCCATTGCAACCCGAGTCAGGAAAACATTTGACCTTTGGCCCGATCCAGTACACAATTGAAAAAAAACCCTAAATGGTGAAAACAGGGCTTGTCCGTCCCTGGCGTGGCGGCCCCGGGTCAGACCGCTGGCCGCAGCACCTACCGGGCCCACGGCCGTGGAGGGGACTCCATGAGGGTCGCGCAGGTGGCCCCGAGGGTGGGGGCCTGGGATCCCCGCGAGCTGACGACGCCCCGGTTTTGTGTCTGCCCCAGATGAACTGAAAAACAAGACGGTGTGCGAGGGCCA